TGGAGCTGCAACTCAGCGTCAGAGCATCTGCCCAGCATATGCAAAGCCCTGGGTTTGAGCTCCAGGACCAGAAAAGTAAAATGGAAGAATGAGACTAAACTTACAGTTAGCAGAAGAAAGGAAATGATAAATATTAGAGAAAAGGTAAATGAAATAGGGAAGAAAAACAGTTGACAAAATTATAGATTGGTTTTTTTTAAGATTGACAAAGTTGACTAATTCTTAATTAGACTGACCAAGAAAACAAAATTCTCACAGTACTAAAATAAGAAATGAAAGCAAAGATATTACTACTGATCTCATAAAAGAAAAAGTATAAAAGGATAGTATGAACAGCTGTGTGTTACTTAGATAACTGCTATGGTCTGAATGTCCTTTCCCAGTAAATAAAAGTCATGTGGAAAGTCAATTCATATTTTAGCAGGTGAGACTTTTAAGTCATAGATAGGATTAATACCATCATAGAAGGGGGAGTTCACCCTTCCATACAAATTTGTACCTCTGCCATGTAATGCCTCCCTTCGTGGAAAGATGAAGCAGTAAGGCCCTCTCAAATTCTGATAAAAAGATAGTGGTATTTTGCAGCCTCCAGAACTATGAAGCAATAAATTTCTGATGATTATATATTGGCCAGTTTCAGATATTCTGTTCTCTCAGTACAAAAAAGCACAAGGATAGCAGCATAAACAAAATGAACAACTTCCTAGAAATAAACAAACATCCAAAATTGACTTAAGAACAAACAAAAGGCCTGTCTGGATCACTAGCAACTGAAAAGATTGAATCAATAATTTTCTACATATTTATCTATTATTTTTATTGTATGTGTATGAGTGTATTGCCTCTATGTATATAAAGCGCACCCATTACATGCAATGACCGCAGATGTCAGAAGAGAGTGTCAGATCCCCTGAAACTGGAGTTACAAACCGTTGTTAGCTGCCATGTGGGTGCTGGGATTCAAAGCTTGGTCCTCTGCAAAAGCAGTCAGTGTCCTCAACTGCTGAGCCATCTCTCTAGCCCTTGAATCAATAATTTTTAAAACAAACTCCAGAACAGAGACTTCATAGGTAGTTTACCACAAATGGTTAAAAAAATCAATATTAATTCTTCCTGAACTCCCCCCACAAAATGAGAGGATACTTAGTCATTTCACAACACCAATACTTCCTTGATATCAAAGCCAGAAAATACAATGCAGAAATTAAAGTTACAGACCAAGTTCCTGTACCAATATGAGTACAAAACCCCCTCAACAAAATATTAACAAATTGAATGTAGCAGCATATTAAAAGAATTACATGTGATCACTAAGTGATTTCCTAATATCACAAAGGTGGTTTAACCTCTGAAAATATATCAATGTAATGCGCCACATAGATAGATAAGTAAAAAAATAAAGCTAAGTTGAAGTGGGAAAAAGTCAAGAAAAATTGACAAAAGCAAGCAAAAAAGTGAGATATGACCTGAAATGACAATTTAAACATTTTTATGAATAGAAAGATAGTGAAAAAGAAAACATTCCATCATATGTGTATGTAATTAACATGCAAAGTTAGTATATTACATAAGTGATGAAAGGATTACTCAGCAAGTAATAATGAGATCATTGGTTCCTTATCTAGAAAAAGATGCCCCTACCTCATAAAATATAGCAATATAGTCCATATGGATTAAAATTTAAAATAATTAAATGCATCTGTAGCTGAACTTTTAATCTGATCTCAAAATAGAGACTGCTTTTCCTAAACCTGAAGAAGCGGACAGAAAAATATAAGTGGACTGACAAGATAAAGCCCACTGATGCAGCAGTGGCACATATGTTATAGAAGTAACCAAACAATTTCCACAAGATGCAAGCCATACCTGGCACCCTTATCAGGGCCAAGACCTATGGCTAGATAGGTCACAGACCATAGGGGAGAACCTACATAATATTAAACTGACTCCTAGTAACTTAATGTAGAAGGCAATTAATACAGAGACCCACAGCTGATCAACATGTAGAGAATAAGAGACTGTATCTATCACACGCCCTCCTCAAGATGCAGGGATAATCAAGAAAGAAGGGCAGTGGATAGCCATAAGAAAATAGTGCTTTCCAGATACAACAGTACAGCTGCACAAATGAACTCACAGCAGTTGTGACAGCATGCACAGAACCTCTGCAAGTTCAAGTCAGACAAAATCCCAGCATAGAGAGGGGAATGGTCATAAACTCTCACCCATAGTGAAAAGAAATTGACAATAGCTCCTGGGAGGAGAGTCATTTTTCTTTAAGGATGTTACCCCTGATAGGTCAGTCAAGTTCTGCGTAGGGAGGTGGGATGGAGCTGAGAGGATGGGGATGGTAAATATAATCAAAATACATTGTATGAAATTTTCAAAGAATTAATAAAATTTTTAATTAAAAAATCTTATGTTAAAACCATTCTCCTCAGCTGGCAAGGCTGCTCAGTGAATAAAGGCATTTGCCACCAAGCCTGATAACTTTTGTTCGATCCCAGGACCCACATGGGAAGGAGAGAACGACTCTATCAATTGTTCTCTAACACACACACACACACACACACACACACACACACATTCACACACACACATACACAAATAAATAATGTAACTATGAAATTGAAAAAAATAGCATCCCCTCATCCTCACAACACTGACTTTTCATATCTTAAAATAACAGCTTTTTCTCACACGTGTGCAGGTGAAATATCATTCTAGTTTCAGCTCACATTTTCCTAATAAGAAGCAAGGCTGAAATTCTTTCATGCATCTATTAGCCATCTGTATGCCTTCTTTTGAGAAATATGTACATAGGTCCTGTGCTCATTTTTTATAATCAGATTATTTTCTTGCTATTCAGTCATTTGAGCTCTTTATGTATTTTGGATAGTAGCCCCTATGAAATGTGTGGTTTGAAAATATTTCCTCCCCATTCTGTGATATACACACATAATGTGATGAATGCACAATTCAATTTTCACAAAGAAAGAAATTCTGTCATTTTTGACAACATGGATCAGCCTGGAGACATTATGAAAAGTAAAACGGATCAAGCAAAGAGAAATAAATATTGAATGACTCCACTTAAAGGAGAGGGTAAATGAAGCAGGGAGTGCAGTCCTGGCTTCCACAGGCTGGAGTTCAATGATGAGTTACATCTTATATATTTCAAAGTCACTGAAAGAATTACTAATCTTAAACATTCTCATAACAAGAAATAGGTATGTGAGATGATGATATGTTAATTAATTTGATTTAACCATTACAAATGGATACTCACCCCATATCAGTTTTTGCCTGTTTACAAATATTATTTGAAGTTAAAAATAAAATTGCATTTGAGAAGAGACAAATTTTAATGAGGCATAACAAATATATTGTATATATAAATTATACATACAATTTGATAATATCTAAATTTAAAATATATAGAGACAAGACACATAAGAAAAAAATATTGGAAAAAGGACAAAAAAATTGAGCTTCAGTCCTACAGCAATTCAAATTAATATAGTAGTGACAAATAATTTGTTAGACTGAATTTTAAAATAATTGCAAGAATAGGATAGGTAAATCTTTTCTTACATAAAAAGCTCAAATTTTAAGAAAAGTGTTGATAAATTGGACTACATTACATTTAAGAACTCTTTACCAAAACCATAGTTTAAGGAGTAACAATCAAGAATAGGAAAAATATTGGTCATAAATATACCCAATACAAGGTCGGTATCAAGAACATATAAGAACTTGTAGAAATTAGTAAGAAAAAAACAAGAGACATAAATGACAAAACAGGAAATCCAAGTGGTTACAAATATATGAAAATCATGATAGTAACAAAGAAAATGAAAACTCAATGGAATCATACATACTTCATGCCCTCAGGATGGAAGGAAGGAGGGAGGAAGAGAGGGAGGTAGGGAAGGTGGAGGGAGGATATGTGTACAAGAACCACACTCAATCATCAAATACTCAAAACAACATCTATAAACAGAAGGGATACATAAATATTACAAGCAAATATTAATGAACCACATTAAATAGTGCCTGATTTATAGTGAAAGAAGCTGGACAAGAAACAAAACTACATGATTCTAATTATATCAAATTCAAAAAATAGTTAAATGTAAACTAAGAATGTTTAAAGACGTATACTTGTGTACCAACTAAAGAACAACAAGGGGGTGATAAAATAGAAGCTTTGCTCCCTCTGGGAGAGGCAGGGTGACAAGAGTGGAGCCACAGTAAGACACACGGCGTCTCCTTGCCTGGTGACGGTTATAGAGAACTTACACAGTGATGTCATTTAAGTTTTACACTTTTACATGTTTTCCAGGATGCATGCTTTATTTTAACATAAATGCGGTTTATAACTACAAATTGCCAAGTGAAGCTGGACATGATGGCACATCTTCATAATCCCAGCCACCAAGAAACTGAAGCGAGAAGATCACAAGTTCAAGGCCAACCTAGGCTACATAGTGAGGCCCTGCCTCAAGATTAAAAGAAAAAACAAACATTACAAATAAGTAGATGAGTAGACATGACTATATATACATTTTAAGCCGCTTCAAAACAAAGCTTAGATTAAAAGGGCAGCAACAAAGCGAGAATTGTACTAGGCACAGTAAATTGGAAAAGCACAGCTTAACAACAAGATATTATAGAAAATCAAGTGAACAGTATGTATTCCGTGGGTACACGGGTTATGTATAAAGAGCAAATGGAAAGAAGAAAAATATGAATGATAAACAATGCTTTATTCATAATATAACAAGCACTTAGGAAATGCAAAGAAATAATCTGACATTTGTGCCTGCTAAATTACCCACGGCCACTATTGTCTAGGTAAATTTTCATTCACTGTTAGCTCTGAAAATTATTTATTGTTCAAAAAGGGCTGGCAAATTATTTCAAGCAATTTTCTATCTTGAAAACATTTCAAATGACAACAATAATTTAAAATTTTACATATATAAAGTAATTCTTACCTTGCTTGAGAATTTTGGGGCTCTAATTTTAACAAAGATGTGAAATCATATATAGCTCCAATCCAGTTTTCATTTTCATAGTAAAATATTCCACGTTTCATTAATGCATCTGTCCTTTTGGGGTCAAGATAAATACACTAAAGGGTGTGGGGAATATATAAACACATTGCATAGTGAGCAAAAACTAGGTGAAGCATATAGTCACATACTACGTAAGAGAAACTCACTTTGAGATGACAAAATTTTCAGATTTGTGTTTAAAGACTACATTAAGAAATGCATCCATCATCAAATTCTTGAGAGAATTTTCCAAGAGGAAAAACAAACAATATAAATATAAGAAGTCAAAGTTTTGACCACTGAAAATTTCACCAATAAAAATCCATCTGTGAATTGTTCAACTAGGCTGCCGTTATGCTGAGTCTCTCGCAGCCTTTTATCCTAAGTGAAGATGAGACACATGGGACTAGCACATTGATGCTGATTCATTCAAATCAAACATGGGTTAATCTACTCCCTAAAATGAGAAGAATCAGCACTGACCTGGTTCATCACTTCACACTGACATACAAAGCAACAGATGAACCAAGTGTATCTGTCATATGTTCAGCTGTGAAATTCCTTGCTAGTTTGTACTAGGAAAGCATTAAAGCAAAAGAAAGGTTACCAAGTATTTGTGAAACAGGATTTACACACAAACACAGACACACACAGACACACAGACACACACACACACACACACACATGAAAATTGTTTCATTTCTGGTAAGCTAAGGCTGAGATCCTAGCAGACAGCCTGAGAGGGTGGGCTCTGACCTCAATCAGTGTAGCAGCTGTGATCCCAGCAGACAGCCAGAGAGTGCTGGGTTCTGGCCTCCCTCTGGCATAGGCACTGAGAACACAGGGGACTGCCTGACAGTTCCTGTATCCTGCCTCTGCTTGGTGAGGCCCAAACCGTAGAAGGAAGCCTGAGTGTACCTGACTGGAATCTGACTTGGACTTCTGTGGGTGCTACTGAATAGCTGATCTGAAGCCATCTAAAGTAAAACCTGAGAGAACCTGATATCTGTACAAACCAGCTTCACATAACCGATAAAAGACCTAGGCATCCTAATAATACAAACAGAAGCATATGTCAAATTAATTCTCATATCAGAATCATACACAACAAAAGAAATTCACATGCCAAAACCACAACGAAAGAATAATAAAATGGAAAGCTAAAACACTATGTCCCCACCAAACTCCACCAGTCCTATAGAAAAGTTCTATAAGGAAAACCCCCTAGAGATAACCCAGGACACTACATTTAAAAGAACAATCATAAACATAATCAAGGAACTCAAAGAATTTAAAGAATGCATGAACAAACAAATCAAAGAACTAAAAGAAGATAGGGACAAACTTCTGAATGAATTCACAAAGGAGATAGAAACATGGAGGAAACAGGCAGAAATGAAGAAGTGAAAAATTCAATAAGCCAACTTGGAACAATGGGGAAAGCTTCACCATGAGAATGAGTGAAATGGAAAACAGAACATCAGCACTGGAGGATAAAGCTGAAGAGCTGGAACACTCAAGCAAAGAGTATGGAAAAAATTTTAAAACACAGGAATGGGATATGAAAGAGCTGTGGGACACCATGAAAAGACCAAATCTACAGATCATAGGAATAGAGGAAGGAGAAGAATTTCAGGTTAATGGTGTTGACCAGATCTTAAACAAGATTGTGGAAGAGAATTTCCTGAAAATAAGGAAAGACATCCACATAAAAATATAGGAAGCACAGAGAACAGCAAATAGACAGGATCAGAAAAGAAACTCCCCACGACATATCATAGTAAAAACACTAAATGTACAGAACAAAGAGAGAATACTGAAAGCAGCAAAAGAAAAACAAGTCACATACAAAGGAAAGCCCATCAGAATTAAAGATGACTTATCAATACAAACTATGAAAGCCATAAGAACCTGGATCAAGGTATTTCTAGTTCTACATGACAATAAATGCCAGCCCAGAATACTTTACCCAGCAAAAATGTCTATTATAGTTGAGGGGGAAAGAAAAATCTTCCATGGCATGAAAAGCCTGAAAGAATACATGTCCACAAAACCAGCCCTTCAAAGAATACTTGAAGCAATATAGAGAATGCAGAGAGAAACAACTATACACCAGGGGCAATGAAAGAAAATAAATAAAGGTATAATCTAGGAAACACAAAAGGAGATGGAGAACACAAACAGCAATCAAAATGTCAGCAACCAGTACGTACCTTTCAATAATAATCATAACTATTAATGGACTGAACTCCCCAGTCAAAAGACACAGACTAGTTGAATGGGTTAAGAAACAAAATCCATCTCTTTGCTGTCTGCAAGAAACCCATCTCATCTTTGAGGACAGGCACTACCTTAAAGTAAAAGGATGGAAAAGAATATTCCAAGCATATGGCACTAAGAAACAAGCAGGGGTTGCAATTCTAATATCTGACAAAATAGATTTCAAAGTAAAACTAACCAGAAGAGATAAGGAGGGTCACTTTATTCTGATCAAAGGAACAATTAACCAAGAAGATATTACAATCATTACTATCAGTAACATATATGCACCAAACTCTGGTGTACCCAAATTCATAAAATCACCACTACAGGACTTTAAGACACAGATTAACTCCAACTCAGTAATAGTAGCAGACTTTAACACCCCACTGTCTCCATTAGACAGGTCAACTGGACAAAGAATAAACAAAGAGACATCTGAAATAAATGATACCATACATCAAATGGACCTAATAGACATCTTTCAAATATTCCACCCAAGCACCAAAGAATACAATTTCTACTCAGCACCCCATGGAACTTTTTCTAAAATTGACCACATACTGGGCCACAAAACAAACCTCAACAAATACCCAAAAAAATTGAAATAATCCCATGCATTCCATCAGACCGCAATGCAATAAAGCTCAAACTCGACACAGGACAGGACCCTAGTCATTACACTAACTCATGGCGATTAAACAACACACTCCGAAGCAATGAGTGGGTCAAAGGAGAAATTAAGAAAAAAATAAAAGAATTCCTAGAATTCAATGAAAAGGATAATATAACAAAACACAAACTCTGGGACACTTTAAAAGCAGTCCTAAGAGGGAAGTTTATAGGTCTAAGTACCTACATTAAAAAATTAGAAAGAGCCCAAATAAATGACCTAACACTGTAACTCAACATGCTGGAAAGGCAAGAACCAAATGAAACCCAAACCCAGCAGAAGAGAAGAAATAACAAAAATCAGAGCAGAAACTTATGAAATAGAAATAAGGAAAACAATACAAAGAATCAATGAATCTAAGAGCTGGCTCTTGGAAAAGCTAAACAAGATAGAAAGACTCTCAGCCCAGTTAACTAAAAGAAACAAAGAGCAAATCCAAATCAACAAAATCAGAGATGAAGGGGGAAACATCACATCAGACAACCAAAAGATCCAGACCATTTTAAGGGAATATCTTAAAACCCTATATGCTACTAAATTTGATAATCTAAAAGAAATGGATGGATATTTAAAATCATGGGAACCACCAAAATTAAACCAAGAAGAGATTAACAGTTTGAACAGACCCACAACATGTAAGGAAATCAAAACAGTAATACAAAGCCTCACAACTAAAAAAAGCCCAGACACAGATGGCTTTACAGTAGAATTTTACCAGACATTTAAAGAAGACCTCCAACCAATACTACTTAAATCATTCAAAACAATAGAAACAGAGGGAGAACTCCCAAATTCCTTCTATGAAGCCAGCATCACTCTAATATCCAAACCAGGTAAGGGTAAAGACACAACCAAGAAAGAAAACTATAGACCCATATCTTTGATGAACATAGATGCAAAAATCCTCAACAAAATACTTGCAAACCACATACAGATGCACATCAAAAAGATCATTCACCATGATCAAGTAGGCTTTATCCCAGAGATGCAGGGATGGTTCACTATACACAAGTCATTAAATGTCATTAATCATAAAAATGGACACAAAGACAAAAACCACATCATCATTTCAATAGATGCAGAAAAGGCTTTTACCAAAATTTAACATGCATTTATGTTCAAAGTCCTAGAGGGAATTGGACTGGAGGGAACATACCTCAACATAGTTAAAGCTACATACAACAAACCCACAGCCAACATCATTCTAGATGGAGAAAACCTGGAAGCATTCCCATTGAAATCAGGAAGCAGACAAGGATGTCCACTCTCTCCACTCCTTTTCAACATAGTTCTTGAAACTCTTGCTAGAGCAGTAAGACAGGAGAAGGAAATTGAAGGAGTACTAATTGGAGAAGAAGAGGTCAAACTATCACTTTTTTTTGTCTTTTTTCAGACAGGGTCTCCCTGTAGCCCCAGCTGTCCTGGAACTCACTATGTAGACCAGGCTGGCCTCGAACTCACAAAGATCTGCCTTCCTCTGCCTCCCAAGTGCTGGGATTAAAGGCGTGTGCCTTGCAGATGATATGATACTATACCTAAGAGATCCCAAAAGTCCCACTGGAAAACTCCTAGAACTGATCAACACTTTCAGTATAGTGACAGGTTATAAAATCAATCTACAAAACTCAGTAGCCTTTCTATATACCAATAACAAGCAATTGGAGAAAGAATACAGGGAAATGTTCCCACTCACAACTACTGGGGAAAAAAATCTTGGAATAAATCTGACCAAAGACAACAAAGACCTCAAAAGTGAAATTTTTAAATTGTTAAAGATACTGAGGAGGACACCAGGAGATGGAAGGACCTCCAATCCTCATGGATTAGAAAAATTAATGTTGTGAAAATGACCATCCTACCAAAAACAATACATAGATTCAATGCAATCTCAAACAATATCCCCATGACATACTTCACAGAATTAGAAAAAAAACAACCTTAAATTCATATGGAAGCACAAAAGACCCCGGATAGCCAAAGCAACCCTGAACACAAATAGCAGAGCTGGGGGATTATTATACCAGATCTCAAAGTGTACTACAGGGCTATAGTCATAAAAAACAGCATGGTACTGGCACAAAAATAGACACATAGATCAATGGAACATCACTGAAGCCCCAAAGAACTCATCCCATTGCAGAGACA